GAAAATTGATGAAGAATTGCAGGCATTGTTGCTGTTGAGCTCGCTGCCAGAAAGCTGGGATACTCTGGTGGTGACCCTGAATAACTCGACTCCAGATGGAAAATTGAAGATGGATGTCGTGACAGACATCCTCCTGGGCGAAGAATCCAAGAGAAGAGAACGAGGTACTTCGAGTACGTCTGAGGCCAACGTTGCTGAGAACAAAGGGAAATCTGACTCCCGCGGTAGAAGCAAAATCCGAGGTAGAGGTCGTGACAGACGAGACAAGTCCAGAGGTCGGTCAAAGCCAAAATATGAGTTGAAATGCTTTTACTATGGAAAGACAGATCATAAGAAGCCAGACTGCTGTACCCTACAGAATGATGAGAAGAACGGCTCTATGAAGTCGGATCAGATTATTCCCAAGAAGAGGGAAGACAAGAGCACCACTGCGGTGGCTGCAAACCCTGATGCCGATATTTTCTTCCTAGGTGAGGATAATTATTTGAATGTTGCATATGATGACTGCACTTGGATTGTTGACTCCAGTGCCTCCTTCCACGTTACTCCACACAAAGGCTTTTTCTCCTCTTACCGAAGTCGTGATTTAGGAGTCGTGAAGATGGGAAATCAAGTGACCAGCAAGATTGTTGGTGTCGGTGATGTAACTCTGACCACGGATATCGGATGCCGACTTGTGTTGAAAGATGTGAGACAGGTTCCTGACATGCGTTTGAACCTAATCTCGGTAGGCAAACTTGATGATGCCGGGTTAGTGAACTACTTCGGTAGTGTTAGATGGAAGCTGGCCAAGGGAAACTTGGTCGTGACCCGAGGTAAGAAAGAAGGCTCCTTGTACGTGATGCAACGAAAGATCAATGGCGGAGAAGCCAATTCTGTTCGAGATGAAACTAGCTTGGAGCTATGGCACAACCGCCTCGGCCACATGAGCGAGAAAGGGCTACAGATCCTGAACAAGAAAGGATTATTGACCGGGTTGAAAGGCCAAGCGTTGGAGAGTTGCACGCATTGCCTAACTGGAAAACAGGACTAGGTTTCTTTTGTGAAACCGGATCAACCTAAACGACGCAGGTATATTCTTGACCTCGTCCATACTGATGTTTGCTCCATGTCGGAAAGATCCCTTGGAGGAGCTCAGTACTTTGTTTCATTTATTGATGACCATTCCCGCAAAGTATGGGTATATTTGTTGAAATCTAAAGATCAGGTACTCCAACCTTTTAAAGAATTCCATGCAATGGTTGAAAGAGAGACTGGCAAGAAATTGAAGGTGGTCCGATCTAATAATGGTGGTGAGTATTGCAGCCCATTTGATGCATACTGCAGAGCGGCCGGGATTCGACTTGAGAAGACGCCCCCCAAGACTCCAAAGTTGAATGGACTGGCTGAGAGGATGAACAGAACAATTGAAGAGAATGTACGAAGCATGATATCCAATGTCGGGTTACCAAAATCATTCTGGGGAGAAGCCGTCAAAACAGCTGTTGACTTGATCAATCTCTCACCATCACGGTCACTTGAAGGAGAAATTCCAGAAGAAGTCTGGACAGGTCGGAAAACGGCCTATAATCAATTGAAGGTGTTTGGATGCCGAGCTTTCGTGCATTTCCCTAAAGATGAAAGGGCAAACTCGATGCGAAGACAAAAGAATGCATCTATCTTGGTTCGCCGAGATGTGAGTTCGGGTTCTGACTTTGGGATCCAATCAATACGAATATCGTGAGAAGCCGAGATGTGATCTTTCATGAGTATGAGAACATTCATGACATCTTGAAGCCCAAAGTCCAGGTTACTGTCAGACGTGAAGAACCCATCCCTCATGTCTGAGCTGAAGCATGGGGAGAAAATGAAGAAAATGATGATCAGCAACAAGCTGAAGATGACCAAGACATTGAGGTCCGAGTTGATGATGAGATCCGGGATGAGAATGATGAACCGGGTCCTCAAGTTGAAGAACAGCCGAGATATCCAACTCGAGAAAGAAGACCCTCTACGAGATACCCATCTGATGAATACACCGTTGTTGCTGAAGACGGTGAGCCTCAAAGTTATGATGAGGCTGTGACGAGGTCAGAGAAAGAAGAAAGGGAAAAGGCTATGCAAGACGAGATGAAGTCTCTGCACGAGAATCAGACTTATGAGCCTAAAGGAAGACGAGCTCTTAAAAACAAATGGGTCTACAAGATTAAGAATGAAGAGAACGGGCAAAAGCCGAGATACAAAGCCCGGATTGTAGTGAAAGGCTGCAATCAGAAGAAAGGAGTTGATTTTGAGGAGATTTTTTCTCCTGTTGTGAAAATGACCTCGGTCCGAACCGTGTTAGCCATGGCGGCTTCGATGGACCTCGAGGTAGAACAAATGGACGTGAAGACGGCATTTCTTCACGGTGACTTAGAAGAAGAGATATATATGGAGCAACCTGAAGGGTTCCGAGCTCCAGACCAAGAAGACTTGGTATGTCGTTTGAAAAAGAGCCTCTATGGCTTGAAGCAAGCACCTCGGCAGTGGTACAAGAAATTTGAATCATTCATGACTGATCATAAGTTTGAAAATACAGATGTTGACCACTGTGTATTTGTGAAGAGGTATGAGGCTGGAGATTTTCTGATCTTGTTGTTATATGTTGACGACATGCTGATTGTAGGGAAAGACAAATCGAGGATTACCGCCCTGAAAAAGGCGTTGAGCTCGTCCTTCGCAATGAAGGACCTCGGCCCTGCAAAGCAGATTCTCGGAATCAAGATTATCCGAGATAGACAGAAGAAGCTACTGTGGCTGAGTCAAGAGAAATATATTGAGAAGATTTTGAAGAGATTCAGCATGGACAAAGCCAAAACAGTGAGCACCCCCCAAGCCGGACACATAAAGCTGAACCAGAAGCAATGTCCGAGATCTGATGAAGATAAAGATGTGATGATGAAGGTCCCGTACCAATCCGCCGTCGGAAGCTTGATGTATGCAATGGTTTGCACTAGACCCGACTTGGCGTATGCTGTTGGAATGGTAAGCCGATATCTGTCAAACCCCGTTAAAGAGCACTGGGAAGCAGTGAAGTGGATCTTCAAGTACCTCCGAGGTACGATCGACTTATGTCTCCGATTTGGAGAAGGCAAAGCCGAGTTGCAAGGCTACTCGGATTCTGATTTAGGGGGAGACGCCGACTCGAGGAAGTCGACTACAGGATATTTGATGAGTTTTGCCGGAGGAGCTGTCTCCTGACAATCAAGACTTCAGAAATGTGTTGCACTATCTACAACTGAGGCTGAGTACATTGCCGCTACTGAGGCAAGCAAAGAGATGCTGTGGATGAAGAAGTTCCTCATGGAACTCGGCCATGATCAAAACAAGTACGAGCTGGGTTGTGACAATCAAAGCGCAATCCATCTTTTGAAGAATTCGACCTATCACTCCCGCACTAAGCATATTGATGTGAGGTATCACTGGATTCGGGATGTGGTGGAAGGTGGAGAGCTCGAACTCGTCAAGGTGCACACCGACCAAAATTGGTCCGACATGATGACAAAGCCGGTTCCAGCAAGGAAATTTGAAGACTGCTGTGAAGGAGCCGGGTTGATGCTGAAGCCGACACATTGAAGTCGGAGGGGGAGATTTGTTGGGCTTCCTCCTTCGATGCTAAGCCCAAGCCCATTTGAGGGGTTTCCTAAAAACCCTAACCATAATTTCCACCTTCTCTATATATACTCATTAGTTGTGGGTGGAGGCTGGGGTCAGATTTGAGAGAAAAAATTTGAGAGAAAAATTATTTGATTGTTTGAGCAAAGCTTTATGCTTTGCATTTGAGAGATCTCTAGAGAGAGTTTGAGTGAAACATCTCTAGGGTAGTTTGATTATCACCATTGTTGGAGAGATTGAGTTAACCACCACATTGGTGTATTTGATTATTGGTAACCATTATTTTCATAGTGAATTTTTTGATCTGGACTAGATCCCGTGGGTTTTTACTTCTTCATTGGAGAAGGTTTTCCCACGTTAAATCAGGTTGTGTTCTTCTTCTCTCTCTCATGTTTTTTGTTTTGATTTTTCCGCTGCGCTGCCCGACCTGGTGAAGTTCAGGCCGAGGTATTGCCGAGATCAGAATTTTGTTGATTGACTTCCGCACAAAGACTGCTTAGCTGAGTTTGAGGGAACCGAGTTTTTCCAACAAGAAGATCATAACCATATAAATTAATGAGTATGATTTTATAACTACCTATTTTAATATTTTTTTATCTCTTCTTTTATTATCATTAATATACTTTTATATGATTATTATTGCCCGTATAATCATATCATATATATATATTTTTTTTCACGTTAGAGCATACACATCCTTTACACACAGTTGACACCACGATTGTGTCTCTGGATTGCACCGTCTTTAATTGGAGATACAACAAAAGCACTAACTGCATGCTACACTATTAAAAAAACCATGTGTTCGTGTGAATGCACGGCGTCCTTTGCTCCAATCAGCAAGTGGGTTTTGACATGTCTTATATAGAAAAAATGTATATCATTTTAAAAGATATAAAATTGTGTTATTTTAAATGAGAAAAAAAAAATAAAAATAAAAATATAAAAAGATGAAATTCATGTCTTTACGAGAGTGAAATATAACATAAATTTTATCTTTTAAAATAACGAATACTTTTTCCATCTTACAATGTGGATGGTGTCAAACAACTTTATGTTCGGTGGAAGAGACAATTTCGTGTACATATTAACTAATTTCTTGAATTTAATAGCAATTCAAAAAGTAGATTGAAACTATTGATTGGCACCTCGTGGTGCGCGCCATTATCATTCTAGACGTTTTGACTTTTATTATATTGGTTACTTTTCAAACTTTTGTTTCCTTCTCTTTGATTTATTCCCACTATTAAATGTTCCTAGGGGAAAGATCCATTCCTCATAACAATGAGAGCCACATTATAAATATCCATATGCTGTGTCTATAAAACCCACGAGTTTAGCATACCCTACCTACTATTATGACCACCATGGCCGTCCAGAGCCTATTAATCACACCCCTTTTGGTTATGCTCATGAGTTTCCACTCCCATGCATTCGTTGAATCTTCTGAGTGGCAATATCCACCACATAACGGAGGAGGAGTTAGAGCTGCATATTGGCCTTCAGGTAATGACCTTTCACCCTCGTCCATTGAAACCAAATACTTCACTCACATCTACTACGCCTTCGTCGAACCCGAACCCGAATCTTTCAACCTCAAAGTTACCGACTCCGATAAAAAATCGATACCAGAGTTCATAAACGGACTCCGAAACCGTTACCCACCGGTGAAAACTCTGCTATCCATTGGAGGAGGTAGCAGCAATTCAACAGCGTTCTCTATCATGGCCAGCAACAAACGTAACCGAGAAATCTTCATAAACTCAACAATCCACGTGGCACGCGAATACGGTTTTAATGGTCTTGACTTGGATTGGGAGTTCCCAGCAGATGAAAAAGACATGTCTAACCTTGCTCTTTTATACGAAGAATGGCACAAGGCTTTGGTCGTTGAATCTCGGATTCACAAAAAGCCACGTTTGCTTTTGACTTCTGCAGTGTATTACGCCGCCACGATAGTGCTTATTGGTGATGGGCCTAGATCATACCCGGCCCAAGCCATTCGTGAATATTTGGATTGGGCTAGTCCTATGTGCTTTGATTTTCATGGTGCATGGGCGAATTTTACTGGCTTTAATGCTGCATTGTATGATCCCAAATCTAATATAAGCACTCATTATGGTATCGGATCTTGGATCAAATCGGGTGTTCCGCCCGAAAAGCTGGTTATGGGTTTGCCGTTGTATGGTCGGACATGGGAGCTCCAAGATCCGAATGTTCATGGAGTTGGGGCACGAGCGGTTGGTGCAGCCCCTGATACGGATGGTACTTTGGACTATTATAAAATCTTGAAGTTTAACAAAGAGAAGGGTGCCACTGTTGTGTATGATGGGTCAGCTGTGTCTTTTTACTCTTATGCGGGTACAACTTGGATCGGGTATGACGATGGACCCTCCATAACAAAGAAGGTTCAGTTTGCTCGGTCACTGTGCTTGAAGGGCTATTTCTTTTGGGCTGTTGGGAAGGACAAGGACTGGACCATCTCAAGACAAGGTACTCCATCCATGCTCAATTGCTCATTCTCGTTTTCTTCTCTTTTCAATTTTTTTTTTTTTTTTATATTATATTATATTTATCCATTATGTCTGATTTTTTTTTTTTTTTGGGCAGCTTCAAATGCTTGGGGACATTGACGGCCATACCGAGTTTATTCATATTATTGTGTAACTTTGCTAAAATTTTACAGTATCCTGAATTTCATGTAATTCTCAACCTTTATACAGAATCATCGTCTACGAACTTATGGTGCTGCCATAAAACTTGAATAATATTAGTGTGTCACATACTAGAATACTCTGATTATGTACATGCAATAACGAATAAAAAATAATTAATGGAACATTATATTTACAAACTACACTATGTATTCCCGAAAATAGAATAGGTTATACTATGTACTTCAGGGAGTACATAGTATAATTTGCAAAATTTTGTAAAAAATTTTTGTAAACGGATCATTCCTCGTATATATTTATGGGAAAAATGTGTATCATTTTAAAGGATGTAAATTGTGTCATTTTAAGTTAGAGAAAGAGATAGATAAAGGAAGAGAGAGTGGACAAAAATATATAAAGGTGTAAGTCCTATCTCTTTGTGAGAGTGAAATGATATAAGTTGTGTCATTTAAAAGGATAACTATTTTTTCCTATATTTATATAGAGAAAAGTGTTTGTCATTTTAAATGACATAAAGTTATGTCATTTTAAGAGAGAGATTGACACAAAATATATTTTTTATTTAAATTTTAAATTAAAAAAAAATGACAAACACCAAACCCATTTATATATAGGTTAAACATTTCTATAACCACTTTACATAATGTTATCTACAATTACCTTTTTTAACTAAGTCTAGCCCGCAATACATAAAAATTGCATTTCTCTCTTATTGGCTAGACAACGTATGGCATGTAGAAATATTTAACCATATATATACACTTCCAAGACATTAATATTTTAGCCATTAATTAACTATTACAAGTAAGAGCAAATTTGTAACATGAATCTTTCACTATACTCCCCTCTATTTTTTTATTTTTTTTGAATACATTAAGGAATTGAACACACATCTTATTACATAACTACCCATATCCCTTGTAATAAAAAATTTCGATTCTCAAAAACATTTACGTATAGTGAAATCGTTTCCATTAAAAAAATAGACATAATGATATATTTTTTTTAGGAGAATTACATATTGATATTTTCTTATCTATTGCTTACCGTCTGCTTCAACCATAACATAAATCTCAACCACTGATGTTTGTTTTCTGAAAGAATGCTCACTTTCTGCTTAGTGTTTATCTTATAACAATGCACTGATCACTCTTCTTATTGAGCAATACAATTAGTTGAAGGAATAAAAAATAACTAAGATTTGAACCAATAATAAAACGAATTAAGCTCACTGCATAGCAAAGAATAATATGAAAATCTCAAATCAAATTTGCCATCACAAATGATTTTATCTCCAGTTTAGACTTTGTTATTTATACACTAGCTACTGCCAACAATTAAAACAAACTCTTTTCTCTCAAAATCAAATAAATAATTTCAACAAAAAGAAGACCAATACATTTAAAACCTATTTTCAAGAAAAGCTTAGTTGATAATGGGTTAATATAGAACTCTGAACCCTTAGGGAGCGTTTGGTGAAAGGTATCTCAAAATTTTGCTAGGCATCTCAAAGTGGATAAATTGGTTGTCCACGTTTGGTACAAGAAATCCAAAAATTTGCCTACCTAACCGATTTGCCTATTAATTGAGTTTTGTATATAAAATTAGACAAAAATCACAGCTCTGAAAACCTTCTTCATTGGTGGTATTCAACAGATAACCAGGCAAGTGAAAATGGGTAAAAAGGAAAAGGTCAAAACTACCCTTTGTAACCTACTAGCGCCAAAGTGAGAAGAGAGAAGAGCAAATCCACTTTTGGACATCCACGGAGGTGCTCGTTTTTTCAGTTTTGGGTTTCACTTTCAGATCTGCACCAAGGCCGACCAGATTGGGATTGTCCGAGTAAAAGCATAAAATCGACGTCCCAACGAGTTACCAAAAAAACACAGATGTGCATACAAGTAATGAAATAGAGGGGAAGAGAAGAAGAAAGGTGTTAGTCATGGACAATCATCGAAAATCAGATCTTGGCCACTGAAAGACAGAAACAGAAGGAAGAGAGAATCAATGGAAGAGAAACGAAAAGAAAGAGAGGGAATGAAACTTGGAGGAGATTGAGATTGCTACAGCTTTGGATCTTGTTGTGTTTCTTTGGAAGAGATCTGGACCTTCCGTGGGCTGAGAGTTGTTGGGCTGAAACAAAAAAATAAAATAAAATATTTATACAAAAAAAGAAACAGAACTAAATTAAGATATTGTAAAGGGTTATTTGGTAATTTTAACCTGGTTTTCCATTAATATTTATCTTCAACTAAACATAGATTCAGAATATCTTACCTAATTTGCCCGGTAATTTTTTTTTTTCAACCAAACAACTTTTTTTACATTTTCCTACCAAACTTATTTTTCAACCATTTCATTTTCAATTACATTTATCTAGTATTCAAAAAATTTCTCCTCAAACAAACGCTCCCTTAATGCTCTCAATGCAAGCACAAAAAAAGCAATTCATCTTTTTTAGTAGAACTCAATATAATATAATATTATAACACATACCATCACCATAAAAAAGTTTGACATAATAAGACAATTCAGCTCCAAATTGTAAGGCATCAACTATGGAATAGATCCATTATTATCCTCAAGTATTATTAAATGGAGGTGGAGAAAAGAGAAAGAAAGATTCCCTAAACAATAAACCAGTATTGGTTGTGGACGGGCACAAAAACTATGAACTAAAAAATAACTATTGGTCCAGATGAAATTGTCTGTATGTCCCATGAATATTGACTTATACTTGGAAAGGGTTTCGTCCTTTTAGAGATGCTTATAGTGGCTAGACTTAACGTATGGTTCGGGTTGAGGAAATTGTGTGGTAGAGGTTAGGACATGGGGAAGGGACACTTCGCTAGGTGACGGAGTTGTTTTAACAAAAAATAAAAAAGTATTCTATAGAAATAAAAAAACCAACTGAAAAAAATTGAAGGATTTATCTCAAGAAATCATATAGGAAAATATATAGCAGGCGAGAGAGAATGGAGCAGTCAGATGGCTGAAGCTTGGACATGAGAAGTCCAAAGAGACAAACGAGTGTTCTCAATTCCTCCGAATTTTGACTATAAAAATTTGGTAAGAATAGCTTTTGTCGTCTTCATGTAATTCTCAACCTTTATACAGAATCATCGTCTACGAAATTATGGTGCTGCCATAAAACTGGAATAATATTAGTGTGTCACATACTAGAATACTCTGATTATGTACCTGCAATAACGAATAAAAATTGAATTTTAAGGAAATGTTATATTTACAAACTTTTACAAACTACAATATGTATTTCCGGAAGTACAATAGGTTATACTATGTACTTCCTGGAGTACATAGTATAATTTGCAAAATTTTGTAAAAAAAATTTATAAACGGATCACTCCTCATATATATTTATGGGAAAAATGTGTACCATTTTAAATGATGTAAAATTGTGTCATTTTAAGTGAGAGAAATAGATAAATAAAGGAAGAGAGAGTGGACAAAAAAATATAAAGGTATGAGTCTCACCTCTTTGTGAGAGTGAAATGATATAAGTTGTGTCATTTATAAGGATAAACAATTTTCCCTATATTTATATAGGGAAAAGTGTTTGTCATTTTAAATGACATAAAATTATGTCATTTTAAGAAAGACATAGACACAAAATATATTTTTTATTTACATTTTAAATTAAAAAAAATCACTCATTTTCTCTCTCCCATAATTTTCATTTTGTGTGTTTATCTCTTTCTTAAAATGACATAACTTATGTCATTTAAAAATGACAAACACCAAATTCATTTATATATAAGTTAAACATTTCTATAACAACTTTAGATAATATTATCTACACTTACCTTTTTTAACTAAGTCTAGACCGCAATACATAAAAATTGCATTTCTCTCTTATTGGCTAGACAACTTATGGCATGTAGAAATATTTAACCATATATATACACTTCCAAGACATTAATATATTTTAGCCATTAATTAACTATTACAAGTAAGAGCAAATTTGTAACATGAATCTTTCACTATACTCCCCTCTATTTTTTTTTTAATACATTAAGAAATTAAACACACATCTTATTACATAACTACCCATATCCCTTGTAATTATCTTAAACACACATCTATTTTTTAATATATTATTCTAAAGTAAAACCGTTTATTGGAAACTTTGATGATGTGTCGCATTCTCCTTGAATCTGAGGTTTGTGTTCACATTACTTAAATTTAAATATTTACCTCTTTTAGAAATATTTTGAATTATTTTAAATTAAAATTATTATTAATTCATTTTTGTGAAAATAGTGCAGCTTTTATTATGGTTCACATTTTGAATGCAACAAAACCCCACTACCTCCTACCTTGGAAAATGTTGGCCTTATTAATTTTGCTGTGTTCAAGAAAGACATTTATTCCTCAGCTGATTTAAAATTTTGAATTTTGAAATGGAATGACTCACCTGTTTTAATGACTCAGCTGTTTTTACATTGAAATTGTTTATCTTTTTTAATTGCTCAGCTCTTTTAAAATTCGAATTTTGAATTGAGATGGTGGGAAAAGATTTGAAAAATTTTGGGTGACAAAGAGCTCATTTAATGTCTGAGTGTTCTGTTCCTTGCATCTATAAATAAGAACGTTGTGCACGCTTATTTCGTTTTCCCCTCCCGTTTTCAATTGTTCATGGTTGTTTCTTTGAGAGAAATTCTTTGAGATAACTATCCTGCTTCTTTTCGGTCTTCCCAAACGAAATGGTTTCGAGATATGATTGTGAATTCTCTTTTGTTGTGTACAGAGATTGTGCACTTGAATATACTCTACGTTCTACAATCTCTTTATCTCACACAATCGTATGTAATTTAAAACGACAAAGATCGAACCCTTTTTTTATACGTGTATTTTTTCAGGGTGCATTCTCTTTCGTTTTGCTTTCATTGCACTTTTCAGTTAGTTTTGTTTTCACTCCGCTGGAATCAGATCTGCACTCCCAAATCTCAGATCGTAATTTGGTAAGCTCTTTCTGCAATCGTTTCTCAATTTCTGCCTTCGATTTTTCTTCTTCTCTCTGCGACTTAGCTATTCAATTACGGCGCATTGCATGTCTGACCGCGGGATCTGATGGCTCCTAACAACGTTGTGTATTTTTTTGTTTGGCAGATTCAATTCAAGACATGAAGCATTTCCCTCATTTCAAAGATTCAACGCAACGATGGTAATTATTATTGTCTCTTAAGAAATTACAATCGCTTAGTTTAATATTTGAGGACTTGATCTATGAAGCACCGATACCGATACGGCATTTTCGATATGTTCCTGATACTTGTGTCCGATACGTTAGTTCAAAAATACTAATATTTCGATACGTTCCGATACGTCTTAGTATTAAATAATTTTTTTAATATAATGTACTTTACATTAACAAAATATAATAAAATCATAGACATAGATATAATAACAATATGTAAATAAAAATATAAGAATATACAAATACAAACATATTTATATAAATATAAACATTAAATATAAATATAAATACAGAATTTTTATAAACAGAATATAAATACAAATAATATGTAAATAGAAATTTATATACAAAAAATAATTATTAACTACTCTTTCAAAAATATTAACACTCATCTCCTATTATAAAAATTACATAATAAAAAATAAAAAAAATAAATACAATAAAAATAAAAGGCAATCCTTCATTCACTTATTAAATTAAATTGAAATCTTATCCTTTTTCTTTTATAATTAAATTACTAAATCTGATTGTTTATAAAAAAATTACTAAATCTGATTTCAATTTTTGTAAATATAAATTTGTGAAATTCCAATGACTACCGACACTAATCCTTGCAAAAAAAAAATTATTTATTATTATTTTATAAATCTTATTTTAGTAAATGAAAGTTCATCTTTAAGATAAAATATAAAAACCTAGACGCAACTATAAAAACCTTTTACATGCTGATAGTATGAGGTGGCAAACTGGACTCGGTCCGTAGTGCCGGCCCACCAACGCATTTTTATAATTAAATTAAAATTTCATCCGTCTTCTTTTATAGGTAAAAGCTGATCTTTTAAATCTTTATTTGCTTGGTGTTATTGTTACCTTGATTTTGTTGATGAATGTTATAGTTAGCAATGATTTGTATGCATTTTTTCTTTTTATACCCCTTCCTCATGTTAACATGGTGTATTATAACGTATTATGGTGTATTATGATGTAGTTGTATGCAAAATTAATTATCCCTCAGAATAGCAGATTTTCTTTTTGTTGGGTGATATTTGTAAAGTTCTGTGTCAATGTTGTAATTTTTTTCACCTGAAATATAAGAACAAAATAGTAACATAATTTTTTTGTAAGTACAAGGTTTGCAGTGCGATTAACCAAACACGGCGGACGACAAAATTTTTGATCTTATTCCCCCGTGCATCGCACGGGTAATATACTAGTTTTTAACTAAGTCTAGACCGCAATACATAAAAATTGCATTTCTCTCTTATTGGCTAGACAACTTATGGCATGTAGAAATATTTAACCATATATATACACTTCCAAGACATTAATATATTTTAGCCATTAATTAACTATTACAAGTAAGAGCAAATTTGTAACATGAATCTTTCACTATACTCCCCTCTATTTTTTTTTTAATACATTAAGAAATTAAACACACATCTTATTACATAACTACCCATATCCCTTGTAATAAAAAATTTCGATTGTCAAAAACATTACGTACAGTGAAATCGTTTCCATTAAAAAAATAGACATAATGATATATTTTTTTTAGGAGAATTACATAATGATATTTTCTTATCTATTGCTTACCGTCTGCTTCCACCATAACAAAGAATAAATCTCAACCACTGATGTTAGTTTTCTAAAAGAATGCTCACTTTCTGCTTAGTGTTTATCTTAGAACAATGCACTGATCACTCTTCTTATTGAGCAATACAATTAGTTGAAGGAATAAAAAATAACTAAGATTTGAACCAATAATAAAACGAATTAAGCTCACTGCATAGCAAAGAATAATATGAAAATCTCAAATCAAATTTGCCATCACAAATGATTTTATCTCCAGTTTAGACTTTGTTATTTGTACACTAGCTACTGCCAACAATTAAAACAAACTCTTTTATCTCAAAATCAAATAAATAATTTCAACAAAAAGAAGACCAATACATTTAAAACCTTTTTTCAAGAAAAGCTTAGTTGATAATGGGTTAATATAGAACTCTGAACCCTTAATGCTCTCAATGCAAGCACTAAAAAATGCAATTCATCTTTTTAGTAGAACTCAATATAATATAATATTATAACACATACCATCACCATAAAAAAGTTGACATAATAAGACAATTCAGCTCCAAATTGGAAGGCATCACCTATGGAATAGATCCATTATTATCCTCAAGTAATATTAAATGGAGGTGGAGAAAAAAGAAAGAAAGATTCCCTAAACAATAAACCAGTATTGGTTGTGGACGGGCACAAAAACTATGAATATTATGAGAGCATCGAATTCGATATTCCCTTTTATTAAAATCATAATATTTTTCATTTTCACCCATAATTTTTTATATAATTTTTTTTTAAGTCCCAACAACTTTTTTATTTTAATATGAATATATCTACATCTATTGCATCAAAAGTTTTTTTTTTTCCCCTTATATTCCAACAAGTCAACAACCACAAAGGTTGCAGGTCCGACGTACAAATGTCAGACACACAGAGAGTACACATTTCAAAAGATATCACTTTCAATGAGTATTATTTTAGTGTTCCAAAAAAAAAAAAAAGGATTATTTTCAGTGTTTTAAAACTCGGATCGGTCATCGAACCGGTCGAGTTACTGGGTCACTGAGTCACTGGTTCAACCGGGTTGAACCGATTTTACTGTTCACATATTAAAAATATAAAAATATTACTTATATTAATAAAAATTCACATAAGAAAACTATCTATGAGCTTCAAAAAATAAATTGGTTTTCAATGATAGCAAATATTATATACTTCTAAGTTTCTAGCTCTAGACCGTTGAGATGAGATCATGAGACCATCAGTGTTTATCACCACTTAACTTCATGAGATCATTATAAGATGCAACTAAATTACATAAACGAACTACACTAATCTAAAATACCTTATTATTTTCACCTTACTTTTAATCATATTCATCATAAAATATGAATATGATTTAATTCAAGAGTTCTTATCAACAAAAAAAAAATTTACCAAAAAAAAAAAGAAAAAAAAAAAAACCGGTTTAACCCGAGTCAACTGAGTCGCCGGGTCGCCGGGTTTCGGCCGGGTCAACCGGTCCAATCCGGGCTGACTGCATAACCGGTCTAACTACCCGCTCGGACCGTGGAACCCACCGGGTCGACCCGGGTTTTAAAACAGTGATTATTTTCTTTATTCATCCATTCCCTCCGTCTTATATAAATATATATATAATAATATTTATCTAATAATAATAAATTATTAATGCTAATAATTAGCCCCTTTCTTAAAAATACTTATAAGTTATAATAGTTATTATATTTTATTATTTTTAATGACATTTGTAATTTTGATATTTTATTTTTGCCCCAATCACACAAAATTTCGGTCCGCCGCTGTATGCACATGTACTGCCACTGCTCACACACCTATCTTCTTTAATGCTCCTTTTTTTAATATTCTAATAACTAAAACAGTTCTTGGTTCCAACTTCCAAGTCGAATAGCTTCACTATCTGTAAAATTTGATACCACAGTCATAAAGTAGCTCATTCTAGCTCAATATCTCCAAAATGTATTGCTACAACTCCAATTAGAAACAGCAAAATCAATAGATGCACGTAGACACTTGTTTGACCACTTCCTCTACATATAACTAATACCTTGAATTTAAAAGAAATTTAAGTAGATTGAAACTATCGAAGCCGAACCTCGGGATGAGCACCTTTGTCATTCTAGACGTTTTGACTTGTATTACGTAGGTTACCTTGTTAATTAAACTTCAATTATTTCCTTGTGTTTGATTTGTTCTCACTATTAAACATTAGTGGAAGGTGCATTCCTCATAAGAATTCGAACAGAATACTCCAAAGCCGGCAAATACATAAATATCCATGGTTTTATTATGTCGATGAATCCAATGAAAAATCATATATACATATACCTGCACTTGGATATGCACTCAATACCCAATTACGTACGACGATCATGGCCGTCCAAAAGCTCATGATCACACCCCTTTTGGTCTTGCTCATGAGCTTCAACTACCATGCATTCGTTGAATCTCATGAGTGGCCATATCCACCATATAACGGAGGAGTTAAAGCTGCGTATTGGTCTTCAGGTGATGACTTTTCACCCTCTTCCATTGAAACCAATTACTTCACTCACATCTACTACGCCTTCATCGAACCTGACCCAGAATCTTTCAACCTCAATGTCACCGACTCCGATAAAAAATGGATACCAGAGTTCATAAACGGGCTCCGAAACCGTTACCCACCAGTGAAAACTCTGTTGTCCATTGGAGGAGGTGGTTTCAATGCAACAGTGTTCTCTGCCATGGCCAGCAACAACCAAACCCGAGAAATGTTCATAAACTCAACAATCCACGTGGCACGCGAATACGGTTTCAACGGTCTTGACTTGGATTGGGAGTACCCAGCAGATGAAAAAGACATGTCTAACCTTGCTCTCTTATACAAAGAATGGCACCAAGCTTTGGTTGTCGAATCTCGGATTCTCAGAAAACCACGTTTGCTTTTGACTTCTGCGGTGTACTACGCCTCCACAATAGTGAATATTGGTGATGGGCCTAGATCGTACCCGGCCCAATCCATTCGAGAATATTTGGATTGGGTTAGTCCTATGTGTTTTGACTTTCATGGTAAATGGGAAAATTTTACTGGCTTTAATGCTGCATTATATGATCTTAAATCTAATATAAGCACCCTTTATGGTATCGGATCTTGGATCGAATCGGGTGTACCGCCCGAAAAGCTGGTCATTGGTTTGCCGTTATACGGGCATGCATGGGAGCTCCAAGATCCGAATGTTTATGGGGTTGGGGCACCAGCCGTTGGTCCGGCTATTGGTACGAATGGTATTTTGGACTATGATGAAATCTTGGAGTTTAACAAAGAGAATGGTGCCAAGATTGTGTATGATGGGTTAGCTGTGTCTTTCTACTCTTATGCGGGCACTACTTGGATCGGGTATGATGATGGACCATCCATAACAAAGAAGGTCCAATTTGCTCGGTCACTGTGCTTGAAGGGCTATTTCTTCTGGGCCCTTGGGATGGACAAGGATTGGGCCATCTCTAGACAAGGTACTCCATCCATGCTCATTCTCGTTTCTTCTCTTTTCAACTTCCTTTAAAACCTTTTTTTTATTAAAATAAAATAAAATAATCTGATTCTGATGCTCATTGGTATGTTTTGTGTTTATTTCTTTTTCTTTTTGGCAGCTTCAAATGCATGGGGACGCTGACACGGCTATCCCGAGTTTATTCGTATTATTGTGGTGGCTGTTGAATTGTTTAGTAATATTGATCTGAATTAGGTTACGCAACTAATAATTTAGTAGAATTCAAAAACCTTTTATTACCACCACTCTTTTGTATTAATCATTGTTTTCTTATTTGTTTTTTCTCGTATTTGTCATGTAATATTTATTCATGCAATCCACATTATTACAATTTGTTCAAATAAGTAAAATAATTGGTGTTTGAAATAACTAATTCTCATGAGATGGTACTCTTTTTAGTACTTTAATACTGTTAACGATCATTATTCAGCTGCAACAAGTTTTTACTTTTTACAATTGTTCGGAGTGAAAACCAATTACTTATGTTTAGGGTGATATGATAGGTGTATGGAGTATGTTGTATGGCTGAGTATGAAATTGCTCTGGTATCAATGGTATGACGCTCAAAATGTAAGGGATAATGATCGTAACAAGGTTTCGCAAATGTGGTTCGATGCTATTCGAATGAGGTGTCCTGGTGTACGTACTGTAGATGTATTTATACAAGTCTTTGGATGCAGTTATCACAGTGATCGTGGCTTTAGTGCAATTCAGTTAAGGGATAATCGTGGGTATCAGAGCTGGAAAGGATTGTGGGTATGATCCTACGACCTGGTTCACGGGCTACAACCCAAGCCGAATATGGTGAAGAAGTCTTTAGGCCCTCATCAAGGGGGCTAAGCCCTTTCGACCTAAATTTGGTGGGCCTACCCATGTATATACCCGGAACATTAAGCCCCTAGCTTAGAGTAGCGCAAGTAGGTACTCCAAGGTACTAATGTCTTGGCTTGTCTTTATTCTCGACCTCGCCTTACTAGAAGTCACTTTACATTAAATTCTGACTGCGCTGTTATGCCACCTGCCACAACTTTTTTGGTCACAATCTTGTAGCGCGGTACGAGGCGAAATTATTTGATTTTCAAAATTCAAAAAGTCATTTCTTATTTCACTTACGTTCTGTAGCTCTTTGTTAGAGTTTCGGACCATAATAAGATGACACTGAAAATAAGGCCAGAGCCTTCTTGCTGGAGTTAGAAAGGCAAATGCCACCTTCTCAACTTGCTAGTATCGTGTTTCTGCACCTTGCAAGACTTTGCTAATGAAATAAATTGATTTCTATTTGACTTTATCTTCTCGGACTAGTACTGAGCTGATTGCTTCCTGCGAAACAGACAAATAAGTACAAAACCTCACCTGCTTCCGGCTTAATCAGGATTGGGGGAGATGCCAAGATTTGTTTTAATTCTTGGAAGAAGGCTTTGCAATCTTTCGTCCAGGTAAATTCATGCCTTTTCTTCAACCATTGGAAAAAGGGCAGCGAAGTTTGAGTCGACTTCGCTAAAATCTTGATAGAGCTGCCACTTTCCCATTAAGTTGTTGCATCTCCTTTGTGCTCCTCGACCTTTGCATTTCTGGGATAGCCTAGCACTTATTCGGGTTGGCTGCAATCCCCCGCTCTGTCAATAAGAACCCCAAAAACTTTTTAGCTAACACTCCAATCACACATTTGGCTGGATTCTAATGCATGTTATGCTTCCGTAGTTGGGTAAAAACAACTTCTAAATCGGATAAATGTGTGCTGGGTTCCGAGGACTTCATTATCATGTCGTCCATGTAAACTTTTAATATATTCCCAATCTGATCCTCGAACACTTTGGACATCATTCTCATGTACGTTGCTCTGGCATTCTTTAGCTCAAAAAGCATCATATTATAGCAATAAATGGCGCCTTCCATGATGAAATTGTCTTCTCTTGATCTTCCTCGTACATGGGTATTTGCTTGTACTCAGAGTATACGTCCATAAATGAAAGAATTTTGTACCCCGGAAGCATTGTCCACCAATTGGTCTATGCTTGGTAGAGGGGAAAGGATCCTCCGAGCAAGCTTTATTAGATTGTGTAATTAGTACACATCCTCCATATGCCATCTGACTTTTTCATCATTACTACGTTAAATAGCCACGTGGTATATTGTATCTCCCTTATAAAGCCGGCGTCTAACAACTCTTTCATTTTTTTCATTAATCGCCTTCCTTCTTTCCAGGAAAAGCTTTCGCTTCTTCTGAGCAATGGGCTTGGATCATGGCTTGATTGATAACTTATGACAGGCAAAAGTAGGTCAATTCTTAGCATATTTTATGGCTTCTAGGAAAAGAGGTCAGCATTCTTCTTCAAAAGGTCTTTTAATCCTTTAGTCACGCTTTCCTCCAAGTCGAAACCTATCTTCACTGTCTTTTTATGGGCTTGAGCCGAGCTAAAAGTCAAGCATTCCTTCATCGGCTCCGATCTATCTTCCCACTTTCCGGATCTGGGATCTAACTCCATTAACATCACCTCCTCTCTTTTTCTCCGAGTAACCGGGGTATTCCATCAACTTGCTCCTGCCTCTTCTCTCTATCTTCCTTCTTCTGGCTTTCTTCTCTTGCTTTGTCTTTTTCTCCTTTGTTCTTTCTCCTTCTTTGGAGCGGGCTCACTGGCACATGGTATTTGTAAACTCATGTTGTAGCAGCTACGTGCTACAAGTTGATCTGCTTGATGGTTGTTGTGTTGCCGTCTTTTGCCATAAACTTCGTGGCCATTTGACCAATGGATAAGAAAATCTTGAATTTCTTCATAAAGGATCTCCCGAGTTTAACATTATATGCTGACGGAATGTCCATCATAGCAAAGGGCAAAGACACCGTTTTGTGCGTAAGTGCTTTTCCTAGCATCATCCTCAAATTGATATATCCCACAAGCTTGATTTTATCTCCGGAAAATGCTAACAGCTCCACACCACATGGCTCCAAGTGGTCGTGGTCGTGGTCGAGGTCTAACTTCCTGAATGCATCCCAAAAAAATATGTCTACCAAGCTCCCTGGACTGACTAGCATTCTCTCTACCCAATAGTTTGCAAAGATCCCAGATATGACCATTTGATCATCATGGTTAGGATCTAATATCTCCTTATTGAATTCATCAAAGATAACTTGCTTTCCTATCTTCCTCCTGTCTTCCTTGAATCGAGGTGTCTTGAAGATTGCCAGGCAAGTCTTCAGGTGTTTCTACTGAGCATTACTTGATTCTCCGCCTCGTACTTGTCCTCCGGTAATGGTCATACATGTCTGACTTCCACATGGTTGGACGATGGCGAAGTGGTCTCCTTCTTATGCTCTTTATTCGCCTCCTTATCTCGTCCCTAGCGAGCTCCTGCTTCTATCAAACCTCTTTTTCGTTCTCTACAATTATCTTGTCCCCTTCTTTTGACATATTTCCGCGACTTTCCCTGTCTAACCAACTATTCAATGGAATCTCGTAAGTTGTAACATTCGTTGGTAATGTGCCCATAGCACCTGCATATGAAACTAACACCGCTTGGTCCTATCCATTTGTGCATGGGCCGACCTGATTAAATGTGGTCTCTATATATTGCGCATCTCGGTGTTCATCACTTCTTTCATGATTTGTGCCTAGGAGGTGTTCAAATGGGTAAATTCACCCTGATTCCTTCTTTGAATCCTTCCCCACTTAAGCGAGGTGGTCTTGTTTCTTCCTGGTTCCTAGCAACTAGCTTGTCCGCCCTACGACCATGCTTTTTTTCTCGGAAGCAGCGCTCTATCTCACGTTGGGAAGCCCGAAACTCTTCCAAATCATTGTACTTCCTAATCTTGTCTAAGAGCTCTTCCTTTGTGGTGGGTCTCTTTTTTGCTAACGAATTGGAAAGGCCACCAGACTGCAACCTGATGGTGAACAGCAACAAGTATGTCTGAGTCTCTAAACCGCGAACTTGCCTAGCCTCTGCTTTGAAGCATTCACAATACTCCCTCAAGCGCTTTCCAAGTCTCTGTCTTACCCTGCAAATAGCATAAGTAGTTTTTGTCTAAAAGCCACAATGCGCAAACTGTTGAGTGAAACGCAGAGCTAAGTCTACCCAGCCATCAATGGAGTTTTCTGGAAGTGTGGTGAACCACTCCAAAGCTTGTTTTCTAATGAAAACAGGAAAGGTCCTGCATAATAGAGAATTTGTTTCTCCACATAATGACATTGCTGCATGGTAAACGATGATAAACTTTCTATGGTCTTAACTCCCATCGAACGTCTTCAGGTCATTTGACTGCCGGAACCAAGCCGAGATTGGTTCTACTCGCAGCCACCAAGTGAGGGGGTTCCCAACGATCCCTGCCTACTAGGTCAGACTTGAAAATATGGGGGATATTAAGTATGTCAATACGAAGCCCGGGGCAATAAGACTATGTATTGGTCAAACGATTATGCTCCTCCGTGGACTCCATATTGTGGTTTTGGACTATGATGACTCTATGGAACCCGTAAGGCGACTCTGGGCAATAATGGACTTAGTGGTGATCATAATAGTGTCTATCTCCTCTAAATGGGCTAGGTGGCCCATTCATGTGTCGAGCACCCTGGAAATACTGGCTTTTCGAGTTACAGGTACAATGGTAGACAAGTTTGTGATGTCTTTCCATTCTTCCTTCGTCTGTCTTCCTGGTATCTTGTCTGGTGTGGCCCGCGGCTATATTATGCTTGATCTTCCTAGTGACACCCACGTCTTTGGTCTTTTCTGTGAGCATCATGATCTCCCCGATTCCAAGTAATTTGTCATTCGTGCGGGCTCTTGGACTCCCGAGAATGTTGTCAATGACTTCTTGGATTCTCTTCGTTAAGAGCTTTTTCTACCTTCGGGGTGGAGATAATGGAATATAGCTTGGCGCAAAAGACCTCGAGTCTCAAGCTGGGGCATTTCTCTGGGGTGTATTTATACAACATGTCCTCTTTTCAGAGCGAGGCCTCCTTCTTTTTTCGTCCCTCTTACGTTCTCTGAAGAAAACTTGTTGTTCCTCTACCAATCGGAGCAATGCTTATTCGATGGTGTTAAGGGAACGACTCCTAGCATCAGACTAGAAAGAGTTTTCTTCCTCTTCTGCGTGGAATCTTCCATTCTTTGGTAGGCCCTATTGATTG